ACATAAAATTTGACAATTTATTATATGCTGACGAATTATGAGTGGACTGACCCTTTACTTGATGAAAATTAATAACACTATCCATGATAATTCAACTTCATATATAGGTCCTGAACCAGCTCAGGGGGTACTTAAATCATTAGTGCGAAACCACATTAGGACATGGACCAATAAGAAGCACACAGAGTACTGGACAAAAGTACCTGGCAACAAACACAGTAGAACCTTCATTAGGGAACCATCCGAGAAAAGAAGCGAAGAACTACTTCAATATAGTAGGGATCGGCTCAGAATAATTACAGGGTTACTAACCGGTCATTGTCTGCTTAGAGGACACCTGAATAAAAAGGAGCTGTACAACGGAGACCTCAGCTGCAGATTATGCAACGATTGGATAAAAACAGTTCTAAACATCTTATGCGAATGTGAGGCACTGAATCACAGGAGGCAGGCAATATATGAACATATTACGTCCAGAAGAATATGACGAACATCCAAGACGGAACCTGTACAAACTTGTACAGGGAACGAAACTGATGGAATGGATGTCATGAGAAGATGGAAGAATAAACGCAATAAGCCCAAGAGGCTGCAGTGTTTTCTAGAGACTTGGACTTAAAGGACAAGTCAGACAGCTCCCGAGGGACCAAAAAAAATCCATGATTATTATTGAAGAATTTTCACAGACATTTTCATTTCTAGGTGCGTTTTGCTAAACCCATAGTTTTATCGGTAGTGATGAATATTGTAATGGCTACAATTCTTAGATATAACAGTTGTAGGTACCTAACTAATTGGTTAATAATGTAAGCGATAACAGATAGAATTTGTGCTGAGTTATGAATATGAGAACATCATTGTCATCAATGTCAGTGTGCTTGTTTCTCATGAGATTCTGAACAAAATCGACGTTTCCGATCCAACTGTTGTGTTTTTTATCCAAGCCCAATCATTCAACGTACATTTTTTTGCCTATTCTTCTCAACACTTTTTCCACAAGATATATATCAGGATTTGCAGTTTTTTGTAATTCTTCACCCCCTAATAGGTGCACCATGTATATCTTCTAACACAAAGGTGGCGGAGTTGGTAATGTTGACTTTCATAATTTTGAATTATTCCGTAGTCCAATTGGGCGTATAGCGTTTTTCGAAAACGTGTTTCGCCTTACTGATTCGCACATCACCGACTTTGAATTTTCTCGATCCAGCTATTTTCAGGTCGGAGTATATTGATTTGAGAATTAGTTTTTCGTTGGTTTTGGTGATTTTCGAGGATTATATGCCCGTCTTCGGGTGTCGCGTATCATTGTAGGATTTTGTGATTTCAGGCAAGACATTCAACCATTGGTAAGTTCTATTCACACTGAAATATTTGAAAAGTCTTTCTGTCAATATCCTAATGGAACGTTCAGCCTTATGAGTTGCATTTCGAGAGGCTAAGTGGTGACTTTTTGGGTGAACATGATCCATTGCAGTAGTAGAAAAAGGCGTTTCAGGTGGATAAAACCCAGTACGAGTTTTACGAGTATTTCCTGCTGTAGGAAACAACGGTTTGATTATGTTGGTGTACTTGTATCTCTGAGTGCCTTTGAGAGGCCCATCGGAATTCTTATGAGTGTTCGATGAATCCAAATTTTTTTTGTATACATGCAAATCCTCGACATTATAATTTTCAGGCAACGTCGAAAAATAATAGTTCATATATACCGGGTGTTCCTTTCCAGTGATACCCAGCCAATTTTATGTATCCGATACGCTTGTCAAAATCAATTTCCTTTTGGCCTAGGAACGATTTTGAAAATGCGCCATCATATATGGGGCCGTATACTTGTCGATTACCCCAACGTTTTTTAATGTACGGTCGAGACATTATCGGATATAATGATCGATATTTTCTTCTTCTCAGACTCTTCCGGTATCTCTTGTTTGAGTTCGGTTTTTATCTCAGTTTTCACCTCAGTTTTCAATGGGGTAGTAGCTGATTGTGTCATTGTTTTATTCGCTATTTTCCTCAATGGAATAGATAGAGGTTTAAAGAATTTTTGCAATGACTCATCTTCTTCGGATTCACCCAATTTCAGAGCCAAATATTTTTTTCGAATGATGCGTGCAATTTCGTTGATTTTATTCTTTGTATTCCATTCAGAATAACAGTCAAAAAGTACTTGAACGTATAATAAATATCGAAATTTATTTTATGACTTCAAAGGTTTAACGACATAATAAAATTGAGGCATCCGTCTGGGGTACCTCTTATTCAAGACAGAGAAAATATCAAAAATAACTGCGTGCAGTGACATCTATATATCAGTAGCAGGCTTAAGACATTAGAAATATCGGATACCAGTCGGGAATTTTTGCGGACTTATTCGCTGGACATGTAGAGGATGTTAAGAGTACCGAGTTTGAAAATAATTTCAGACTCTTTCCGATTGGTAGGAACTTTTCTGAGATAATGTTGATTACATTCCCTAAAATAGTTGAGGTGGAGAATTTTTGGAAAGGATTTGAGGCAGTCGTGCACGGAGATTTGGTGAATCCAGTTGAAATTCCTACAATAGCGGGAAATTCTAGAGGAAGTTTTAGAGTGAATTGAAATATTGAGATATTTCAAGTCACTGTTGAAAGAAGTGATATTGGGTTTTGAGAATATTCGCGGTTTGATTCAATTTAGTTGATTTAGAGGACATTTTCCTGGTTAACGTTCTTGATGCTTCGCTTCGTTAGCAGGCTGGAAAGAGTTATATAGCCTTGCCTCCGAAAATAAGATACATAATCCAGCGGCGGCTCGTCAGAGGAGGCAAGGGAGGCTTGGCCTCCCCATAAAATTTGAGGCTATTCATCACAATAAATTGACAAATAATTATGATTATTTTTTTCTGAAATACTTGGGTATCATTACTTTACCATTATTTTTAATATAAATACATAATATGCCCGAAAAAACACTATCACTCACTACGTAGTACGNGACAATAGTGTGAGCTCTCCATAGATTTCAATTCACTTATTCGATTAGATTCTGATTCTGAATATACTTTAGCTTTGCTCAGTTTCCATTCGTACAACTGTATACCCAACATTGAAGAAGGTGTGAAATTCTACTACAATGGATCTTACGAAATTGGGGATATTGAAGAACCAATATCTCACCTAAAACATTCAAGGAAAACCCTGAGAATTTTTTCTATTTCAAATAGAATGATAATACGCTATAAAATGAAATATTCTGTCTGAAACACTCGATTGATTTCCAACCTGGAAATATCTTGGCTCACATACTGGGATTTTCATCTACTCTTCTCAAACTGAACGTACATTACGAATACGATCTACCTGTGGATATCATTAAAGTATGCACTATACACATAGATAGCAACATTACATTGAAGCATTCTACAACGGCACACCGTCTCATACGATATACGAATTTGCTGTTGGTGTTGACCTTGGGTACGCAATATTGAAGCATGGCTTTGGTACAAAACGTCCTGAAAAGCCTCATTCATTTTGATATTTTCGAAATGAGTTATTTGTAGATCCCATATATAACGCGTCACCATAAAGAAAGGTGTCATACGGCGGTGTTAAATTGACAGATTTCAGCCTCTTCTGAAACTCTCTCACCATGAAACTCTGCATTCAAGCAAGCCAATTCTTGTTGCTTCGCTTCGTTAGCAGGCTGGAAAGAGTTATATAGCCTTGCCGCCAAAAATAAGATACCTACATAATCCAGCGGCGGCTCGTCAGAGGAGGCAATGGAGGCTTAGCCTCCCCATAAAATTTGAGGCTATTCATCGCAATAAATTGAAAGATATTGACAAATGATTATGATTATTTTTTTCTAAAAATACTTGGGTATCATTACTTTACCATTAATTTTCAATATAAAAATAATTTCAGACTCTTTCCGATTGGTAGGAACTTTTCTGAGATAATGTTGATTACATTCCCTAAAATAGTTGAGGTGGAGAATTTTTGGGAAGGATTTGAGGCAGTCGTGCACGGAGATTTGGTGAATCCAGTTGAAATTCCTACAATAGCGGGAAATTCTAGAGGAAGTTTTAGAGTGAATTGATTTTATAATAATTCTGTAGTGTACTTGACCGATATGCATGAGTTGCAAGTTTTCAGCAAGAAACAAATGAAAAGCATGAATTTGCGACATATGACTCAAGACTCTTGTATAAATCCACCCTAAGCCACTAAAGAACTTATTTAGGGTAAGGTTATCCAGGTCAGAAAGTTACGAAACATTTCTTGCTGTTTTGTGGGTTGTACAAAATGCATTGTGACAAAGAATAATTCATAATTATTCCTCTACAACTCATACTACATGCTGACCCTCATGGAGACCAACACAACATCTCATCTGGTTTCCAAATTTCGTTTTTAGTACTAATTTTCAAAAAATTTTATAAATATGTTTCCCTGATGAATATCAAATCAAAATAGTACCTACTAAAACAAAATTCCTCTTCACTAAAATCAACAACAGTAATTCATCATTGTCAAACGTGATTCTATTCTAATAATTATAGTAACACATTTCAATTTCTTGAATGGTAAACCATTCACAAAGAATTATAGTTATACACATTTTCGACAAGTTTTGTGTGTAAATCATCAATAATAACTAATGAAGTGCATTCCTTATTTTGAATAAAATTTTACTGTTACATTATGAGTGATAGTTTCAATACCTATTCAGAATATTTTTATATTCACTTTGAATTTTCATTACCTAGTTTCAGTGTTTGACAATTCCGATGTGTTCATACACAGTATTCTTGTTTTTATGTTTTTAGAATTCAAATCTTCGAATCCAAGAAACCAATATTTTTATTTTGACTCGTAAGTTTATTGTTCGAAAAGTGAACTATTTAACTACTAGCTTCACCACTCAGTGTCTGCTTTTTTCAATTTTCATAGGCAATAACTACCTTACTTCACCTACATACATCTTCACACATTTTAATAGGGTTTCATTTTTCTTTCGTTTTTTTAGCTAGCCTGTTTATTTTACAACCCCACTGATAGCGGTGCTGTTCAACTTACCCAGCAAAACATAGATATGACACTAGGTAAGGAAGTGAACATACTTACTTGGACGTTTTCTTGAAAATCATTTCTGTTTAAGCTTCCAATGAATTAGTGTTCATAAATTTTTATGCTGACTGGTGTAGATTCAGTAATCTCCTCATGCCAATTTTTGATGAGGCTGCAGATGCCATCGCCAAAGAATTCCCCGAAGCGGGGAAAGTGGTAATGGGGAAAGTAGACTGTGATAAGGAAAGTTCGGTGTCCACAAGATTTCATATCTCTAAATATCCTACCTTGAAGATCGTCCGGAATGGTCAACTTGGAAAGAGAGAGTATAGAGGAGCAAGAAATGTTGAGGCATTTAGTAGTTTTATTAAAAAACAATTAGAAGATCCTATCAAAGAGTTCAAGGAGTTACGAGAACTTGGAGAGCTGGAGTCAAATAAAAGGATCATAATCGGTGAGTTTACAGCAGTCTCAACTCTTTTTAATAATATTGGAAAGAATTTTTTAGCGATGATAGCATTGCTCAAATTATAAACAGCTGATAAGAATAACTGAATGTTGAACATAGGTTATGTTTTTTTTATTATTTTTTTTTGTCAACAGCATTCACTACTTAATATCTCCCAGAGCTACTTATATAAAGTACTCCTTTTTTTTAAAAGAAAATTTCAGGTTTTTGACTTGGTACAAGGTTTAAAAAAAACATTTGTCTTAAACCCAAAAATAATTATTTTCGATAATCTTATTATAAATACTCATATCAAAATTTTAATGTTCTTGTAAATAACTTTCCCAAATATTTTAAAGAATAGATCGCCGAAACATAAACTAATCTAACTGAAAAACCTATAAACTCAGGGATAACATTAAAAAAATCAAAGAGATTATGAATGTTCTTAATTGAGAAGTTTGTTTTATTGATAGAAAGTTGACCTAGAATTTGAAGTCAGTTATTCTGGTATAATATTGACATTCAATTTTCTGAATTATTATTTGTCATTTTAGGAATCTCATTTTGTTGATATGGTGAAAGTTGTGATACTTTCGAAAAAAAAAAAACAAATATTAAATGGGAGAGGTTTATATATTCTGAAATAATATGTTACTTTCGACTGGCTGGCTTAGTGAAAAAAAACGTCCTAGTTTTTCAGGCCTTTTGAAGAGGTATCTACATGCAGTCAGTATAATAATAATTTTTATTTTTTTTTCAACTAGGTATCCTAATTTACAAAAACATTTTTGAAATTGGATGGACAAAGTCACAGTCCAACTTCATAATAATAAAATATGTATG